GGAGAGGTCCCTAACAGCAGACTTTCCCATAGCAATGCGTCTTTTAATTTCCTGGCTGCTGGTGCCAAGACTGTTGACTATGGAGCCAAGCAAGTGACTCGACGGCACATAACAACAACATTCATATTAGTTCTCAACTTTCAGATTATATACAGAATCCTGTAGAGGCCATATCTGAATCATGTCAAAGACATCAGTCAATATAATTTTCAAATTGGTCAAAGAAGTTAGTTGCTTTGCTGCTGAAACAATGCACTCTCATTCACAAAGGAATCAGCTGATTGAATTCACTCTTTCCTTCTCAGACACAACTAAGTGGCATATATTTTGTTTCCTGGCACAGATAATTCTCTGGTATTCATAAATCTTTTGATGGTTGTTGTTGTTAGTTGCTGCCCAGTCGAGTATGACTCATAGCAGCCCTATGAACAGCCATCCTGAAACCTGCCCTATCTTGTGTTATCCTTGTCATTTCTGACACACTAGAGCCCATCGCTCAAGTCACCTTGGGGGTCTTTCTCTCCTTCACTGACCCTCTATCTTTCCAAGCATGATATCCTTTCCAAGGAATAACCTTGTCAAGCTACATGTCCGAAATATGAAAGACTTCGCCATCTTTGCCTCCAAATAACACTCTGGCTGCACCTTTTCCAAGACATGTGTTTGTTCTTTTGGCAGTCCATGGGATATTCAGTACTCTTCTCCATCACCACAGCTGAAAGTAGTATTTACTCCTCTGTAATTTTTATTTATTGCCCAGCTCTCTGATACATGGCAGGAGACTGAGAAGGCCATGGCTTCAGCCAGGGGCACCTTAATTTTCAAACCGACATCATTGCTCTTCTGTATTTTAGAGAAGTCCCTGACAAGTGGACTTTTCCTGGTTTCCTAACTGCTTGTACCAGGGATATTGGTTGTTGATCCAATCAAGATTAAAATCATTAACCACTAAACACTTTTTTCCACCTTTCATAATGTTAACTGTTGGACCTGTGGTGAAGACCTTTATCTTCTTGATGTTGAGATGTAAATCGTACAGAAGGTTGTAGTCCTTGATCATTTAATATCCTCCTCACTTTCAGCAAGCAAAGTTGTGCAGGTAATGCAGATTGATGATGAGTCCTCCTCCAATACTGATGCCACCTTCTTTATAAAGCCTGGTGTAGTGACTTATTTGCTCAGCATACACATATTGAATAGATATGGAGAAAGGATACACCCCTGATGTACACCCTTTGTAATTTTAAACCATCCTGTGTTCCCTTCCTCAGTTCAGACACCAGCTTCTTTGTCTAGATATGAATACTGTATGAGCACAATTAATTGTTATTATTGTAGTAATTCTTATTCTTCTCAATATTAGCCATAATTTGTTATGATTCAGGCAGTCAAATGTCTTTGTGATAGTTAATAAAACAATAGCAGCCAATCAATAAGTGTTCTGGGATTCCCATTCTTCTCAATGTTAGCCATTAGAGAAGAGTATTGAAAATACCAAGGACTGCCAAAAAAGCAAACATATGTCTTGGAAAAGGTGCTTCCAGTTCATCTTTCATACTTTAAACATGTAGCTAGGTAAGGCTATGCCTTGGAAAGAAACGTCGTACTTGCAAAGAGGGAGGGTCATTGAAGGAGAGGAAGACCTCCAAGAAGGCGGATTGACACAGTGACTTGAACAATGGGCTCTAGTATGTCAGGATGATGAGGATGGCATGTGCCTGTGCCTGTATGGTTTATTTTTATAGAGTCATTATGAGTCAGTACTGTTCTGGGATTCCTATTATTCTCATTGTTAGCCATAATTTATTGTAATCCACACAGTCAAATGCCTTTGCATAGTCAATAAAACACAAATATTTTGTGAAGGTTCATTTGATGATTAGCTGCCAAAAAACACAAAGCAGTAGTACCATTGGTGGTCATCTATACACACACATTATCTGAAACTTATAAATTACTCCTAGATAGGTATGTTATTGTTATGTGCCGTCGAATCATCTGCAACTCATAGTGATCCTATGTACAACAGCCCTAAACCCTGCGCTATCCTGTGCCAGTCTCACTGTCTCCAACACACCCTCCCTGATTACCCCAGTCACTGAATCAATTCACCTCATAGAGGGTCTTCCTCTCCTGTGCTGTCCCTCCACCCTCCCAAGCATGAGGTCCTTGTCCAAATACTAGTTCCTCCTTGCAACATGTCCAAAGTATGTCAGACGAAGCTTCAGAATCCTTGTCTCCAAGGAGCAGCCTGGTTTAACCCTCTCTAGGATGAACCTGTTAATTTTCTTAGCAGTCAATACTCTTCTCCAATACCACAGCTCAAAGGTATCAATTCTCCTCCTATCCTCTCTAGTTATTGTCCAACTTTCTGATGCATAACAAGTGATTGCAAAGACCATGGCCTATTTCAGGCACACCTTAGTCTCCAGAGTGGCATCATTGCTCTTCATTACTTTGGAGAGGTCTCTAAAAGCACACTTTCCCATCGCACTACATCTTTTAATTTCCTGGCTGCTGATGCCAAGAGTGTTGACTATGAAGCCAAGTAAACTAAAGCTGTTAACAATTTCAGTCTCTTCACCATCCATTCTGATGCTGCCAATTGGCCCAGTGGTGAGAATCTTTGTCTTCTTGATATTGAGCCTCAATCCATATTAAAGGTTGCAGTCCTTGACTTTCTGCAGAAAGTGCTTCAGTTTTTCCTCAGTATCAGCAAGCAGGGTTGTGTCATCTGCATAACGCAGATTGTTGATAGATCTTCCACCAATCCTGACACCACACTCCTCCTCATACAACCCAGCCTCCCAGATAATCTGTTCTGCATATAGGTTGAAAAGGTATGGAGACAGGACACATCCCTGGCATACACCCACCCCCTCAATTTTGAACCATGCAGTGTTTCCTTGCTCTGTCCTGACGACTGCCTCCTGGTCCAAGTATAGGTTTCACATTAGCATGCTCAAGTGTTCTGGGATTCCCATTCTTCTCAGAGTCAGCCACAGTTTGTTGTGATCCACACAGTCAAACACCTTTGCATAATCAACGAGACACAGGTTGACATTCCTCTGGTAGGTCAGAGTTAAATCAAGTAAGAATGAGATTTTGTAAAAAAAGAAAAAAAAGAATGAAAAGAAAAAATATTTGCTCAGTCTAAGTGCTCCATTTCTTCAGCTACCACTTAAGAATGAATGTTAATAAACTAGTTCACTTGTTCAACAGACATTTGAGAACAATGGCACACTCTAGAGATATGATTCCTGTCACAAAGAGCTGACTATCCAGTTAGAGACAGAGAGGATAAATAGAAAATGAAGAGGAGGAGGAGGAAGAAGAAAACTTGTGACTAAAACTTTGAAGGAAAACAAGGTGTCAATCTCTATCTAGTCATGTCTGGAAGTGTCCCCCACCACTCACTTGTCAGGTTATCACACTGCACGGGTTACTTGATGGGGAGCTCCCAGACTGAAACAGACTAAGAAGCAGGCCTGGCATCACTTCTGAAATAGTAATTGACCTGTGAGAAAACCTTATGGATAGCAGCAGAACACTGTCTGATGCAGTACTGGAATATAGGGCCGTTGGGAGGGAAGAAAATGGCTTGAATAGAGCTGCCTCCTCAAAGTTGAATCAACCTGTAATGTTAAGTGTTTATCGTTCAAAATGGCTTCCTTAGCCATTGACTGGCTTTGTCGTGTGGATGTGTGAAAATATGTAAATAGAGTGTGTTGGCCTATCCACAAGGGGATTGGCTAGCCTCTCACCATTAAATTGAGTGGATCCACAGCAAACAGAGCCTCACCACCAAGCAAAGCAGCAGCAAGAAAATGTAGCACGTCCTTCAGGGCCAGAAATTCTTGTACCAGCCAGACCAGGGTATATGAAAGCAGTAGCCACAGCAGCTGCAGCACAGAATCAGAGGCCTGACATGAGGCAAAGCAGACTTGGGGTTGCTACCCCATGGAGAACCAGAACTTAGGAGCTTTTACCAAGTTTGTTGGACCACTGGGTGGGGAAAGCCATAACTGGCTATTTTAATTACTTTTCACACGTTGCTTTGGTTTTATTTTTAAGCTTAAAGAAACCTTGGATCCGGCTCTGGAACCCATTCTTTTAAAACAGACTTTCACTAGTGGTGGACGACTTCTCATTCGCCTTGGAGACTCAGACATTGATTATGACAAAAACTTTCGGTTCTATATGACAACAAAAATGCCAAATCCCCACTACCTGCCTGAGGTAAGTTCTTGGCCTGGATGCCCAGCATCCCTGGGTTGCTAGGATGTGGTGAGTCTCAAAAGTGTGGTGGATACCTGAGCCATCTGGAGGAAGCACTCTCTCTCCTTTCTCTTGCCGCTCCATAACTCATCTTCCTCCCACTTTCTTCCATCCTTCTTCTCTTCTGAGTCACGATTCTGATTCCAATCATCCTCCTCCCTGATCCCTAACACTCACTATCTAGCTGAGACTGTGCACCTCTCCTCTCTATCCCCATCTCCTTCTGCTCCACTCATAGCCGGACCGCCAGTGCCTTCCTGCATTCATCTCCCTCCCTCAGCATAAGTCTTTTTTGCCCCACCCCTTCATCTGGTAGGTAAATGAATCAGACCTTAACTGAGAATCCATCTAAGAGAGGGAGTTCTATCAGTGTTCAGTTGTGTGCATCCCTATGATACCCAGCAGACGTGAGACCTCTGATGCTGAGCACTGTCAGAGACCATGGTTCAGTGTCCAGAGTCAGAGCAGAATTCTGGAGTGAACATCAAGTCTCCTACCTTATGCTCTCAGACTATTTGGAAAGAACCATGAAAACCCTCTTCCTGTCAACATCTCTGAGCCACACAAGGGTCCAGGCAACCTAGGACAACTCTTATGCTACAGAGTAGGCAGTTGCCACCAGTGAGATGTCTTTTTTTCACTCGTGCACAGGATCTTCTGTGCTCCACTGTCCTCATACACTCCACCCCCGGGGCTGCCACAGCTCCAGACATGTTCACCGGGGGGTGGGGGTGGGGGGGTCTTTTTGAGCCAATTCACAAAATAGGAAAGAGACTATACCCAGCCAACTTTATTCCTCTGCTCCCTTCCCCCTCCCCTAAAATTTTCTTGTATACTATTTAAGATATTTCCATTTTCATTTCTGCCATTGAATTTCTCATAGCTGCTTATTTTACATGGGGTGAAGTTGAATTAAATTTACACATTTCTCCAATAGTATGGGGAGATGGTAGTGAAAGCCAGTGTCATGAATTCCTTATTCTCACGAGACTCAATCACACAGTCACTGCCAGGACTCCCTATCTTTGATCCCTTTTAGCACTGATAAAAGTTACCAATATGCTTTCTTGAACACTTCAGTCTCTTACTTTGTTTTGTTGTTTTGTTATTGATATTTGAGTGAATGTTTACGAAGCAAATTTTGATTTTCCATTCAACTGTTCATTCATGTATATTTTGTTTTATAACATTAATTGCAATGCTCACAATGTGTACTCTTGCCACTTCTTCCCGGCATTTAAAATTTCCATTAATGGAGATCTTGCGACATAGTCCATAGGAAGAGCTGTGCTGCTAACCCTAAAGTGGCACCTGCTTCTCTGGCAGTTCAAATCCAACAGCAACATCTCAAGAGAAAGATGAGCAGTCTCTTCCCAGGTGGTTTTCAGTCTCCAAAAGCCCACTGGGTCCTCAGCTAGGAATCAGTTCCAACTTGGGAGTGATGAGTTTTGAATTTTCTTATTACTCCTTCTCTCTCACATCTTCCTGCCTTTGACGTTTATCCTTAGACAAATGCTGCTCTTCTGACCTTCTATAGCTGGTTGCTTGTTGGGGACCACTTATTCTGTTTCTCTGGGGGAAATTATGCCTGGAAGAAATTAATAAATAAGGACACAAGAGACAAACAACATACAGAGACAAAATAGGATCGGTGCAGTCAGACAGGACAGGACTGGACCACTCTGGCAGCTGTGCCATATTTATTTATACCTTATGGAAACAAAGAGATGGTTCACAGGGACATAGAAACTTTAAGGGTTACATCATAGAGCCCAGATGGACCAATACAAGTAGAAACTTTAAGATTGCCATAGGGCTTCTATGGGCTGAGTACATAGTTAGATACATTCAACCAAGACTTCTTTGTATTCATAAACTGTGCTTTCTTTCATCTTGCAACAACCTTATCAAGAGCAGGAATAATAATGAAAGTCAGTGTCTAAAGATGTATGAGAACCACTTGCAATCTTCCTTCTCAGAGTGCCTTGTGAGATCTGCTTGCAATCTTCTTTCTGAAGACACCTTCTGTGTACAAGGCACACAGTCATATTCTAAGGATGCAGTCCTTTACATTCTATGGTTCCCTACAGTTGTTCTAAGGAGTGAGTGCCTCTGGTGTCATGGTCACTTTATAGGTCTTCCTGTTGTTTGCCTGAAAGTTGAGCCATGTGGTTTAGTTTAGTTCCAGGTACATAGGATGACTGAAGGCCATTATCTTGGGGGTTCCACCAGTCTCTTTCAGACCAATAATCCTGCAATACAGCGATAATAAATGTTCACTTACAAGCAGATAGGCAAGATGAACAGATTTGGGCAGGTGAAAAGGATGTGAAATAATGAATTAATAAAAATCTAACTTCTCTGTAAATCTTCATTAAAATCACAACTGAAATAAAATTTTATTTCAAAAAAGGACTCTCAAAGGCCATACATATGTTTGCCAGATGATATTACTAAATTCATATTTCTATATGCTGTAACTATGTCCATGTATATAGCAGAGCCAATGAGAAGAAAAGCTACATTTATAACCAAGGGCCTTGAGGGAATAAATTGCTAGTTCTGAGACCATAGGACCATAATCTTGAGAACATCAAGGTCACTTGGTATAATCTATTACACAAAGGCATGTTCTCCTTATAAGGCAGCATTGCACCCTACAACCAGCCCTGCCACTGTTCCTAGCTTTATGACTGTGGGTGGATTATTCCATCTCCTAGATCCTCAAATCAGTCAACCATAAAGTGGAGATAGAGCCTACTTTAAAAAATTGTTGATATCAAAGCTCACTGCCTTCAAGTAGATTCTGAGTCATGGTAATCCTACAGTGGATTCCCCAAACTGTACAACTTCATAAGAGTAGACTGCCCATACTTCTTCATTGGATCAACTGGTAGATTTGAACTACCAGTGTTTTGATCAGCAGTAGACAAAAAAATAGACCTGTAAGGTGATCAATAAGAACAGAGAGAAATACTCCTTAGAGCAATCAACCATACCAGATCAGAAGAGCTGCATTTTCCCAGGGTTATTGCTTGGAAGACAGGAAGGGAGAGGATGAAGGATGTATGGAAATGGAAAATACAAGAAGGAAGTGGGAAGAATAATGCTATGATGAGGAAGCTGTACTCAGTGGTATGAAACATAATGTGTATGAGTTGCTGAATGGAAAACCAACCTGTTCTATAAACTTCCACTCAAATTGTAAAAAGAAGTTAAAAATAAATTAAAATGTATATTTTTTAATAAATGTTGATACTTGACGTTATTGTATGTAATCGAGTTGGAACTGACCAACTGAACCATTGCTGACCCTCCCTTGGGTTTTTCAGAAATGGTTAATCACAGGGGAGGAGATTGCCCATCCTTCTCCCATGGATCACTTCGAGGATTCAAATCACCTGCTTTGGGAATATACCTATTTTTAAAACATTTATAGAAATATACATACTAAGTATTATATATAAAAAATATAATTATATATTATATTAATTATATTCTACTCTATTTATAATATACATATTTATACAAACAAACCTATTTGTTCTCCTAGTAGTCCATAGTATATTCAACACTCTTCTCCAGCACCACTGCTCAAAGGCATCAATTCTCTTTCTATCATCCCTATTCAACTGTCCAACTCTCTGATGCAGAGCACATAAATGCCTGGATCAGGTGCACCTTAGTCTCCAGCCTGACATCGTTGCTCTTCAGTACTCTTGAGAGGTCCCTCCCTGACAGCTGACTTTCCGAATGCAATTTGCCTCCTGATTTCCTGGCTGCTGTTACCAAGAGTGTTGACTGTGGAGCCAAGCAAACTAAA